TCACTTTTTTTTTTTAAATTATTATTGGAACTCTTAGTTTAGTTCCCACTTTTAGAAAGTAAAAATATAAAATCAAGCCCAATTTTTAAATTAATTCTCAAATTAAATAATTACAACAATTTGATATCATTAAACTATCAGCAATTTTGAATATTAAGAGATGAAGATTCTAACTTGAATTTATATTTTAAATTATATACATTTATCATTAGATAATAAGGGTAACATGTATAAGATAAAAATATTTTGAATTTAATATTTGTGTAATTTTACTACAAGGTAGTCTAATTATTTGAATTCTTGCAACATTAAACTTAAAATGATGTAAATTTATAATACTTAAAATTGTACTACAAAAAAATTTTTATAAAAATTTTTTAAAATTGAAAAGGCAATATCTTCACTTATTCCCTTGTCTGTTTTTTCATAATTATTTTATTTAAAATAATATTCAGGCAAAAGTTTTTACTACAAAATATTCAGTGTTTACTGAAGGAATAGTATAAATATGAGGTTACATGATATATAAATTGCCATGGTTATATATACGTGTATGATTGATAAGCCTTGTTATGTATTTCAATCTTATTATATTTTATGAACTATATTAAAAAATATATATAAAAAAAAACCTAGATATATAGAAATATGGACAAGACAAAAATTATTTCACGTATCAAAAGATCTGACTGAATAGATTGAGTTTAAAATAATAAAAATTACCTTATTTATCCTTTTTTTTCATATATTTCTTCTTTGAACCAAGGAATTCGGTTGATTTTTGAAATTAGTAACTGTAAATATGTGGTCGAAAAACTCAGACTTCTAGCTAAACAAGAAGGAACCCTAGCTATCATATCTCACCTCTAGCTAGTATATAATCTATCAATATTCTAATTACTTTAAATAGTAAAAAAGAAAGATACATTCTTCAATGGAAAGCATTTTTAATTGGTAAGAGTTCAATTGCAATAACTTTTAGCATTAGGGTTCAATTTAAATTAAAAATTAAGATATTTTTCAATTTACGTTTAAAAGAGGGCTAGAAGTTAGAAGTCATCTGGGGATATTAGTGTAATTTGGAATTCATTACTTAGGTTTGAAGTCATCTGGGGACAACTTAATGGTATATATATAGAACTTTTTTTCATTCAATTAATAAAGGTAAAGCTATTATTTATATGTTTTTTCCGAAAAATGATTATGATGTTTCATTTAGGTATTTGATTCATTAATTTTTTTCCATTTAGCTAATTATCATGATTATTAGCTGGATATAGAACAGCTTTTTTCCCTCCTTTTTTTCGTTTTTTCTTTTTTCTTTAACCATTTGATCCTTGTAATATTATAATTTAATCAAATCATTTTATTAAAATCAAATATTTAAATAAAAAGGATATCCATAATCAGCATCAAATAAAATTCTACGAAAATATTATTATTATTATTATAAGTCATGTTATACAACTGCTTATACATAATCATAGCCGTAAAACCGATTTCAAACCAAGAAAAATGAAATTAGAATTGGTAGAAATTGATCAACCGCACTGAAATTAGAGATTTTAGCTAAAATTTGAAATAGAAATCAAAGTTTATAGAAGAAGATTTTAAGCTTTTTAGCGTTTTGATAAAGTTAAAACTCTATTTATATAACATTCGGAAACATACTTTAACGTTTAGCGTTTAAATTTTAATTAAATTTTTTGACAATCATATTCATTATTTTTTTTTTTCCGAATTGAGCTAATTAAACAATTGATGTCATTTTTATTATTTTACATTTAAAATTTAAACAGCTAATACTGCTGATACCCTAAATTTAAAACCAGCAGTCTGAAGAGCCGTGATGGCTAGCTACACAAGAATATGAACTGAGAAGATTCAAATGGCCTCCCCCTCTAAAAGTAAAGAAAAGAAGAGATTCAAAGGGCAGTGGCCCCGATCTTCTGGTGGCTAGTTCAACTTTTTAAGGAATGGTCCATTTGCCTTCCGGTGACCAATCAAAATGCAAATATTGGGTGGTGTATGGATAAGTGCCAGTAAATCTGTTCAAAAGCAACAAAGATAATTGAAATCTAAGGTGGACCCCTTTTTTTTCATGAGATGATACCAATTACCAATACCAATGCACTTCTTTTTCTGTGATGGGGCCCTTTTTGTTTCCCTCTTTTTCTCACTGTCATTCACCAATGCTTGCTGCTCACTAAGATCATCATTCTGCCGTTTTATTTTTTATTATCAAAATATTTATCTCTCTTCTTAGAATATTGCTAGTTCATTAGCTTTCTTTTTCAAGTACGTGTATGTTTATATATTATATCAATCACAAATATTCCACTAATTCACTCGAATAAAATTAAATCTTGCTAATCCATTTATAAAAAATTAAATCGCTCTCAATGTGTATTTATTTTATTTATGAGAATCAAATTTTTAATCTCATTTATAAAAAATGAATGCCAAAATAAGAGGTAAACATTTAGTAAATTTAAATAATATTTTAATCGAAATAAATTAATCAAAAATTTTTTTTTTACTTAATTGAATTTAACCGAACTAATTTTTTAATTGAACTTAATCGAATCATTTTGGTCAAATTAATTTTAATCATTAACCTAATAAAAGTGAAAGAAAATGAAAACTTAATTAACCAACTGAATTTAATCAAAATTTATAATTAACTGATTTTAACCGAAATTATTAATCACTAATTAATTAAAATAAAAATTGAAATATTTGTAATTTATAATTTTATTATTTAATCAAAACGACGTAATTTTGAGAGTCGATTAATTTAATTAATTCAATTAAATTAATTTTTAACCGATTACCGTAAATTTTATTTTTTTTAACCGAACTTTTATTTTCTTTAACTGAACTTTTATTAACTGAATCAAATTGGCAGAATTAATTGAATTGATCAAATTGACCGAACTAAACATTGACCCGTACGCGGAATCATTCATTTGAAAACTCATTGGTTGTATATTTATTATTATTCTTTTGTTGTATTGGAATGTTTGAACAGGTATTAGTTGGAGTCATTATCTTTGGATTTGTTGATTTTGAAATTTTAGACTTTATTGATATCTCAAATGAAATTAATATTCAACATTAAACGATTAAAATAAATTAATAAATAGTTGTTGTATTTTGGTTGTTGGCTTGGCATGCTTAGTGGAGGGCACACTCTTGGAAATTTAAGCCTATTTAATTATATAATTCGTTAATGCTTGAACTCAAGACTAGGATTTGAAAATACTTTAAAAAGAATTTAAAAATATATTATATACATGTGTCGCTAATGCTATGTTTGGGAAGAGAGAGGAAGTAAAATAAAGGTGTAGAATTTTACTATTTTTTCCTCTCAAAATGGAATGAAAATAAAGTAAAAATGATGTAAAATAAATTTATTTTCCGTCCCCCTTAATATTTTCACTCAAACCAAATAAGAGATTTTGTGAATTTTAAAGCATTTTCACCTCTATTTTACATATTTTCTATATTTTATCTCCGTCTAAATTGTAACTACCTCAATTGCGAAGGCTTACGTAAGCTTAGGAAAATATATTTTTTATTTGGATAATTATATAAATATATCAAATTTTATACTAATTTTAATAATGTCGCGTAACTTTAATTTATTATTTTTTAATTATTAAATTTAAATTTTTGTTTTGGTAAAATATCACCCATCAAAATCTGGTGACTGAAAAGATTAAATGATATTAAAAATGAAATATTCATATTTCAGTCCCCATAGAAATAAAAACTTCCGTCCCCTTGTTAATCTTACCCGCTAGATAATAACCTTCGATTAATGAGTTGTAAGTATAAGCACTTGGTTTTTATACCACTCTGAACCATCAGTTCAAACAATCCATTTGCCTCTTTTATCTTTTCCTCCTGACAAAGTGCATTAACCAGCACGTTAAGTGTAACCACAATAGGTTGCACACTTCAATCCACCATCTCGTTGAATAAGCACTTAGTGTCTTCCCACTCACCAAAAGAACATTGACCTTGTAACAGTGAGGCATACACAAACACACTCGGACAGATCCCCATATCCTTCATTTGCACAAAAAGCTCTTTCGCCTTTTCTATCAATCCATCCTTACAAAGACCATCAATAATAAAGGCGTAAGAAAATACATCAGGCTTACAATCCATACCAGATTCACCAGTCCCATTAACCAACTTTCCAAACAACTTAAAGAGCAACAACTGTATTGCCTGTTCGACACAACCCATTAATCAATATATATTAAATGTAAAGATATCAGGCCTACAACTAAACATGTTCATTCCCATTATGCTCGAGCTTGGCTCGATAACCGTAAATAAGCCAATCTCGAGCTGAAGCTTAAAATTTATCAAATTAAAACAATATTATTTTAATATAAATTTGAATTTAATTGATTTTAATTTATTGAGTTAGCTCGTAAACTCAATTTGGATTGATCTGACTCGTGAGCTAATGAGTTGAACTCGAGCTCCGATTATTTATTAAATGAGCTCAATAAACTTATTGAACTAAATTGAGAGTGCTTTTTATCGAATTTTGAATAGCTCACGAACGGCTTGTCTCATTTACAGCTGCAACTATATATATATATATAAACCAATCATCCCGAACGAATCTAATAAATTGAACTGAATATTCAACTGACTACTTGAAAGCCAATTGTATATCTGAAACAGTCATCCTGATCACATCCAATAAACTGAACTAAATGAGCTTCCCGCTGTGAGCTAATTTTAAAGTCCGCTGAAATTGCAGCATTATAATATTTCTGTTAAAAAAATACATTTTTCTTTCTTAAAATTATTTATCACAATCAACTTATGATATCAGAGGAAAAAAAATTGACTTACAATTCTTTTTAAATCTTTATTCGGTTTTGATAAGGAATAAAGAATGAGAATTCAGTAAACTAACATATAAACATTATTTATTCAACTAATTCCTATTAATTTTCTTTTTTACTTATAGATCCAATCATATAGATCAAATTTATCATTCAATCAATTCTTGTACTTTACAATTTTTTTGACGTTGCTTGAAGAAAACAATTAATCCCAGTTTGGGGTAAATGTCAAACAAAAGTTAAGAATAAATCCCACCTTGGAAGCTTTCACTGCAGTTATACAATCGAAATTTACAAAATGCTTGTGGTTGCAGCTCCTAGAGTGTTTTTCCAATGTTAGTTGACACCGTTTTATCATATGATATCAGCTTTCCGTTGGCTTTTATACAGGAAATTGTGGAAGTAATTTAAAATATTTGTCGTAGTTATCATCCTTCGAGAGCCACTCTATTACTGTTTCGAATATACCTGCACTTGGTGACACATTTCTTGCTACCATTTTATGAAGAAGGTCAGTAACTTTTGCATTCTCATTATTCTGGCATAAACCTCGCATCAAGGAATTAAATGTGACCGCATTTGGAATACAACCTTTCTTCTCCATCTCCAAAAATAGATCATATGCCTTCTCCAATTGCCCTTCTTTGCAGAGTCCATGGATCATGATACTATAGGTCACAACGTCCGGAATGCAGCCTTTCTCCTCCATTTCCAAATATAAATCATTTGCCATCTCCGGTTGGCCTTCTTTATAAAGTCCATGGATCATGACATTATAGGTCACAACCGTCGGCTTTAAACCTCCATTAAACAATTTATAGAAAAGGTCCCAAGCAATGTCAAGCTTTCCTGTTTTACACAAGCCATCAATAAGGCAGTTGATTATTTCAACACTTAACTCAAACTTGCAGGTTTCTAAACTATGAAACACATCCATTGCCTCAGAAACACAACCATTTTCACAAAGGCCACGAAGATAAATTAAATAAGTAGTGGAATCCGGTGAAATATCATGATTTTCTGGATGTTGCATCTCGCCAAATAGCTTCCGTGCATCCTCAACCTTACCTGCTTGGAAAAGACCATTAAACAAGATGTTGTATGTAATGACAGTTGGTCGAATCCCTTTGCCCTTCATATCCCGGTACAATTTCATAGCTTCATGTACCTTCCAATTCTTGCAATAACCATTGATCAATGTGTTGTAGCTTACAACATCATGTTGAATCCCCTTAGTCGCCATAGAAGAAAAAAGTTCTGTCGCCTTATCAATCATACCCACCAAACAATAGCCCTCAATCAATGAGTTGTAACTACAGGCATTTGGTTTTACACCACTCTGAACCATCAGTTCAAATAATCCATATGCCACTTCTATCTTTCCCTCTTGACAAAGTGCATTAATCAACATGCTAAATGTAACCACATTAGGTTGCACACCCGAATCCACCATCTCAATAACTAAGCATTTAGCATCTTCCCACTCACCCAAAGATAATAGACCTTGTAAAAGCGAGCTATAGACAACCACATCTGGAAAAATCCCCATATCTTTCATTTGTACAAAAAGTTCTTTCGCCTTTTCTATTAAACCATCCTTACAAAGACGATCAATAATACAAGAATAAGAAATTTTATCAGGTTTACAATTCATGCCTGATTCACCATTCCCATTAACCATTTTTTCAAGCAACTTAAGCGCAACACCTGTATGCCCTGTTCGACACAACCCATTAATCAAAGTACCAAAAGTAAATGCATTAGGCCTGCAACCAAACATGCCCATTTTCTTGAAAAGTCTAACTGCCTCACTAATTTTATCCTTCATACACAATCCCCTGATCAAAGAAGTAAAAGTCACAATATTTGGCCTATAACCCCTTCTCATTATTACCCCCATGACCACAAAACCATCAGAAACCCTTTTCACATTGCAACAGGAATTAAGCAAGATATTCAATGCAATGAAGTCTGACAACAACCCAACTGAATTCATTCTTTTGCAAAGCAAAATAACATCAGAATAGTGCTTATTTTTAGCCAGAGCACCTAACAAAAGATTGAATGATGAATTTACAGGAGTGGGTTGCATCTGAATCATGCAATTGAAGAAGTGAATTGCTTCATGTAGAGTGATATTAGCTGACTTACAATTTATGTTCAAAAATTTCTCGAGTGGGGTTTTGCTTTGAGGGTTGGGGATTGAGCTTCTTGGTTCATATTTGGAATTGCAAGTGACTTCATTTGAGTTTCTGGGTTTTGAACTGGTGTCTGTATGTTGATTAGCGAACAAGGAAGAAAGTTTACCACTTGAAGTAATTGTTGAAGAAAGCGATGATGCACCAGCAATACAACATAGAGACGATTGTGGGGTTTTGGAGACCATACTAAGCCGAGTTGAAGGGGATTCTTAACTTCAATTTGCAAAAATTGCACGCAAAGATGGTGCTAAAGCAAGATTTGAAGGCATCAGCTTCTATCTCATTTCTGGTTAGTAAGACTGTGGGAGGGATAGGAAGTGGGGATGCACAAAATATGGTTGTCGCGGCTAGGAGATGAAAGACTGGAACGATGCTATAATTGAAGCTTCCCTGATAGTAAGACTAAATTTTCCACATCCATTCTCATACTCTACTGGAGATAGGCATCATACTATTCCTGCCAATAAAAGCTCTAAGAAATTAGGTTCTATATGCATTTCAAATACGATGTCTATTCATTAGTTAAATTAACATCAATTCACTACTTTAACTGAATTCAAAATTACTATATAAAGTTATAAACACATTCAAGTTCATTAAATAATTTTCTACTTCCTACCTTACAAATTGCCAATAAGATATTTTAACTAAACAATATAAGATATTCAAAGTTAACCATTATTAAATCTTGACAAAGAAAGCGATACATCACTTCAATGGTCATCAGTAAGAAGTTAGCAGCATTAAAAATGACAGAAACAATTATTTTGTACCTTGTCACTCATTAGTAAGATGATTAATTACTGCCATATATATTATGTATATATAACCTTAAAAAATCATGATCCTGTCCAGTCAAGATTCGGCTTAAACATATGAAATTAACATTCAAATCCAGAAACTTTAATTTTATTCTAGATTTATTACAATTAACCTTAGCTAACTTAGCACAATTAATTCATACTCCTCATAATAAATAAGATCTAAATCAAGCATGCTGAAAATTCCTTTACATTAAACCAGTACACATGAATCTCCACCAAAGAAGCCAAGAAGACAGAACTTCCTAACCCAATTTGCAAAATATGACTACTGGAAATGGAGAGAAGATGTTAAAATTTTGTGGCCATTTAATCACACATGCTTCCCTTAGTATTGGTAAATGGGTGCTACATTCTGTAGTCAGATGGAGTCAACGATGCGGGGCTTGGAATTTGGAATGAAAAGGAGATTGCGATGGCAGCAGCCATGCACAGGTGCAACATCGGAGATGGAGAAATCAACAGCCATAAACTCTTGTTCAATTTACAATGTCTCAAATTTTCTGATGATATTGAAGATAAAAGATGACTTAGTGACTGATTTGAGGCATCAAAGAAGTTTGCTCAAACTAATGTTGGCGGTATGGCTGAAAGTTAGAGGAGGCAAGTTTGGATTGACTCTCTCTAGCTCTTTCCCCCTTCTCTCCATTCCCATCTTTGTCTCCTTCCTTTCTTTCCTATTCCACTCTCTTTCTTTACACCAGTAATTACAGTATATAATCTATAATTGATTAATAATATTGTTTTTAAAGTGAATTCAAAACTACTGCACATGAATGCAAAAGCACATCAATTCTATCAAATCGAACAGAAAAACACGAGAAATCTCCCGAAAAAAACAGATTAGGATTTGAGAAGGTAAGAGCACAGACGATATAATTTACTTACAGTAATCGATTAGGAACGCTGAGCTGCTAACAACTGCTTGCAGTGCGACGGTGCCAAGATTATAGTCGCGGTGACGGTGACCAGTGACCGTGGAACAAGGGAATCTAAATGGAACGGCGAGCGGTGGAAAGGAAGCAGCGGAAATAGAGTCTGAGCAGTGAGAATAGAAGGCGGATATAGTGCGGGCTATTAATCGAGAAGAAGCTCTCGATAAGCAGAGGAAAGACAATTACCGTTTTCGATTTTGGCCAGTCGCCCTTTCGCTTTTGGGTCTGTTCGGCGGTAGCATTTCAGATAGTTTTTAGCCTTTCTGACTAGAGTCAAAACACTGTCTCTCTCCGGTAACGTAATATCTGCGAGGAGTGTTTCGTTAAATGTTTAGCATTTTAAATAAATAAATAAATAATTTTTTTTTACACACATGCCCATTATTCTTTATCCTCTCCTCAAGCCCTAAAATTTACTGAATCAGAAGTTGTTCCTCTCTACTAGTTGCCGTATATTTGAATTTTGATTGCAGCCCTCTGCTATTTGATAATTGCATTACCAAACATTAACAACCAAATCTCAAGTTGGTAAGGAATAACTGTATCAAAGTATCAAACTATTCACAAAATGTTTGCATAACAATATCTGCAAGTTTAATTTCACAATTTAAAATAATTATATATTTAATACCATTAAAATAATAAGATCAATTATGAAAATGCAGTGAGAATGCATGATTTTAAGTATAAATAATACTTAATACTACTCACAGTATTAGGGAACAGAAACGGCTCTAATTTCAATTTTAGTTTCCCATAGCGGCTCAAGGATCCGGACAATCTAGAAGAATATTTAAATTAAGAACAGATCTTCATTGATACAAAAATAAATCGGTAATTATTTCGTTACCATCTTGAATTCAATTCACAGAGATCCTGTTGGAAATCCGACAGTCTCTTATTTAAAAATCAAAAATCTACTTACTAAATTTATAAAAAGAAAGAGCATCGCTCGCCCCATCAATCTCAATGAGAATCCTATCTGCAACTAAATTCATCAATAATTCACATTTCAATATGAATAGCCAAATCGAACAATAACTTTAATTTAGATGCTCCATTCCTTGGCATTGATTAGCCCTTCGTTTACATTCCACCACTACCAATGGAACTATAGTTTATGTTAAACAATTTACAAAAGACTACATTTAACAACTAAGTATTGCCAGTAATGATCCTTTTCGTACATGATTTTTAAGGTTCTAAATTAATTCTTAAAATGCCATTCCACCCTGGAATTTACTAAGACCTCACAAATTCTTAATTATTCTTCACTCAAAGGGGGTCAATTGCCAACACAACCACTTAGAAGGATTGGAATCAAGATTAGGATCAGAATCAACAGGAATTAAAGAAGACTCACCAAGTTCTTGTTCTTCTGTATCTTCAGGGACTGAAATTGTAGAGGACGGTTGATCAGAGGTCTCATGCTCCATGGTTGTATCTGTATTAATCCGTCATGTATAGGTTTTCAAATCAGGTCTATCCAATCTTCCTAGAGATTTGGCTGGTTGTTCTCTCTTACTATCTATGTCTATAGGAATCTCCCCCTAGAAACAAATGTCATCCATCACCTCTTCCGTCTAATATTTCTCCCCCCAAAGAGGTGACTGGAAAGAAAAATAAGATTCAAACTCCCAAAAGGTAACATCCATACTCACAAAGTATTTCCTAGAAGAAGGATGATAACACTTGTATCCTACTCCCAAAGGTCAACACCTATACTCACAAAGTATTTCCTTAGAAGAGAATCGATTAACACTTAGTATCCTTTTGAGTATTAGTAACCAACAAAACACACACTTTCCAAAGGCTCTATTGATCTAATTTGCTTAGGACCATTTGTATGAACAAAGCAAACACAACTCAAAGACTTTAGGAGGTACATATAAGAGTTTTTCCTTGAAGAGACTCTAATGAAACTTTAAAAAATTTAAAAGTACAAAGAGACATACGGAATTGATAAGGTATAGCAGCAGTCGAAGTAAGCAGCAGTCAAAATAGCATCCCCCAATATGGTTTGGCAAGATTCATAGTGAACATAAGGGACCTAGCTACTTCCAGTAAATGCCTATTTTTCCTTTCCGCTACTTCATTTTCAACACTAGTATTAACACAACTAGTTTGATGTATAATACGATTAGAACCTAAATAGGTACGAAAATCTGCATTCATGTATTCAATACCATTATCAGTTCTTAAGATTTTAACATGCGCATCAAACTGAGTACAAATCATTTTGTGGAAGTTTTGAAAACACGAAAAAACTTCATTTTATATTTTCATCAAATAAACCCAAGTCAATCTAGTGCAACAATCAATAAAGGTCACAAACCATCTATAACCAGAAAGAGAGACAGTTTTAGTAGGACATGAATAGTATGCAAAAGGAATTCAAATTTTTATTATTAATTGGAAGAATTAAGAACGCCTGATGTGTTTTGGCAAGTTTACAAGCATCACATACTAATCGAATAAATCACACATTAGCAACTAAGTGGAAATAAATGTCCTAAGAATAGAAAAAAGAGGGATGTCCTGTAATCCTCCTTGTCCTCCTATGCCATTGAATAACTTCATGGGAAGGATTTCTAGAAGTTCCTAACAAAGCTTGACTGGTACCTGAATTTGAAAAACGACAAATGTCATCCAACAGACACAGTCCATCGCGCAAGCTACCACTGCCAATCGTTCTCCCCGTGTTCAGTTCCTGAATTATAGAATGAGTGGGGTAAAAAGTTACTTTGTAATTAAGGGCTTTTGTGATTAAGCTAACAGATTAATAAGAAATCTAGGAACATGAAGAACAGGGGAGAGTTTAATATTGGAAGTACAGTCAATAGAACCTGTTCCAGCAATGGGTACTAAGGAGCCATCCGCAATGCGAATTTTGTCTGTGCCTTGATACTTAGAATATGTGAGGAAATGTTTTATAGAGTCTGTTGTATGTTTATTTGCTACTGAATCTATAACCCAAGAGGGTTTTATAATTTTTGCAAGACAGGTAAGGAAAGCATTACCTGTATTAACAAAATTAGAGGCTGCAGTCTAAGTTGAGGTTGAATCAAGCTGTGACAATAATCGTTTCAGGGACTGAATCTCCTTATCAAAAAAGCTTCCAGCAGTAGATGGTTCCTCAGATAAAGCTCCACTACTAGATATGTGTGCCTATGGTCTAGAAGAACTGACTCGCTTTCCTCCGCGCCCTTTAGTTGGGTGTCCATGTAATTTCCAGCAGAACTCCTTAGTGTACCTGTTCTTACCGCAATAGTCATAAAATAATTGATCTCTATTTGAAGAACTGCTCTTTGCAGCCTGGATATGTTCTCTTGCAGAATTAGCAATCAACCCTGCGTTGTCAATGGTAAATCTGTGAACCATAGCGTTCCTCCTAGTCTCCTCTTGCTGTACATTGCTGTACAAATGAGTATGCTTGTCGTAAGGATGGAAAAGGATCTCGTCCAAGAACTTGGACTCGAATCTGATCATACTCGTTATTTAGGCCAGTCAGAAAATCATACACACGTTATACTTCAATCCACTTTTGAACTTGAGTCGCATTATCAGTACATCTTGCTTGAAAGTCTTAATAATAATCCAGTTCCTGCCATAACCTACTAAATTCAGCAAAATACTGAGCGATAGTCAGATCTCCCTGCTTGGTTTTATGAACTTTCTGTCGCAATTCATACCTCTGAGCATAGTTTCCAGTTCAGATCTCCCTGCTTGGTTATGAAACTTTCTTCGCCAATTCATACCTCTCAGCGTCTCCTCATCTGCTCTTTCTGGATCTTTGTGAATACGTTACGTGCACTCCAAATATATGTAATATCCCATGATGACTCCCTGCTTGGTTTTATGAACTTTCTGTCGCAATTCATACCTCTGAGCATAGTTTCCAGTTTGTGAATACGTCTGTGAAGCAGCATCCCATATCTTCTCAACTGTATTAAGAAGCAAATATCCTCGGGAAATAGTTGGCTACATGAAATTTATGCACCAAGACATAATAAGAGAATTCTCGAATTTTCACTTGTTAAAGGCTGGATCTGTCGAAACTGGTTTAGTTGCTCCACCATCAAGGTATTCCTGCAAACCTCTACCTTCAATGAATAATAAACAAGACTGAGACCAAGCCAAGTAGTTTGTTCCATCTATCTTCACCGGACTAATCTGAAGTGAGAGGCTCTCTAAGTGAAAAACCATATTTACCTTCTTTCCGTCAACCATATCTTCAAAAAAAAAAAAATAAAAAAAAATAAAAAACTTAAACGGCATTAGTGGTGAAAGGCAGCAGCAGTAAAAGCCAACAGCAGTAGTGGAAATAAACCAAAAAAGAGAAAAAAAATTCCAAAAGGCAAAACTGGTGCTGAAGAACCAGTAGGTCTGAGTCGCCACACCGAGTCGAGGTCGCCGGAACAAGAATCGTCAACAGATCTCGCCGAAAATAGCCACATGCGCCGGCGCGTGAAGAACAGTCAGTATCTTCTGGAGGCGGGTGTGCACACGCGCGTGGTCGGACGGCGACGCAGTTTGGATGGAGTGCCGATTGGCGGTTGTTCTTCCCTCTGAGACGGGCGATGACGACCAACTCCTGCTTCCGGCGGTGCTGTGTGTATCTCAGACCACTTTGCAAACTAAAACCGTTGCCAAAAAATTCACAACAATGGCTCTGATACCATGTAGAAATTAAAGGAAAGAATTTGTTCTATTTCTTTCAATTGTGTTATGTTTTTCAACCTCTACTCCACTATATATATACATAAAATTGTTTCAATATAGGAAGTAATCTAAAGAGGAATAAACCTAAACTAGAAAACAAAATTTTTACACTAATTAGGAATAAACCTAAACTAGGAAACACAATATTTTACTTTAATCACAAAGATTTCAACACTAATTAATTAATTTACTCTCCTTATTTTTATTAGAGTGTTATTTCATATACTTATTTAAAATACACATTATTCAATTAGTTTTTCATTTCATATTATGTACATAACATACTCCTTTCAGTTTTTAGCTATTGTTTGAATAAGTTTGCACTTATTTTTTGGATTTAATAAAAATCAAACTAAATCTTAGTTTCTCAAATTTTTCTATTAACATTGAAACAAAACTAATATTTTAGTGTAATATGGATAAGTTTATAGTTAGTCTTCACAAAATGTTTTGTACTATAAATTTTTTAGGGCTTGAACGATTTGGCAAGAGTTATCGTTTGAGACGGTTGAATTATTTGAGACCAGATATCAAGTATGGTGGTTCTACTGAAGAAGAAGACAAAATTATTTTCTCCCTCAATAACAGCTTGGGAAGTAGGCAAGTCTCTCTATATATTAATCCA